GGGAATAAACCAACTGCTACTGATAAATTCTCTCACAGCAGCTACTTTTTGAGTTCCAACAGGTTGTTGTACCTAGCCCCATTGTACAGGTGGGAAAACTGAGGCTGAAGGGTACAGAGTCACTTCCTAGGCCCTGGGGAATGACTATTGGCTACTGCGTGGTAATTTAGCTTCTTACTTCTCACTGTACCTTCCCAGGGTGGGAACCTCTGAGAGTCAATTTTCCCAGAAAGAGGGACTTTCGAAATGGCAGGCCTGTTAGTAATGGCCTGTTACCACTGGGTATCCTGCCCATTGGGCTGGCACCACGGGAGTAGGGGTTCCCAGCCACCCCAGGGAGGTCATTCAATCCCAGCCATGACAGCTGGTGTCCTTGGTGCCCTGGACCACCATCAGAGAACGGAATCTGCGGGAAAACAAAGAGTGCAGGCGTGGCGGCAGACCTGAGCCCTCCACGTCCGCTTGCCCAGGGCAGGTCTCAGCAGGGTTGGTGCCAGGCGCTGTGCTGATTCTCCACCCCCTTCCCGGCCCCTCGGCTCATCTGCTGGCTTTCAGAACTCCAGCCATCCTGAATGGGTCTTTGTGCGCGCCCCGGGAGCTGGCTCGGAAGAGCCTAATGGAAATGCTGGACAGAGATGTCTCCTTTGGATCCAGGCACAGCCCATCGTGGTGCCATCTTGCGGGTGCCAGGCTTTTATCGTTCCGCGAAGCTGCTCTATCTGGGAGCGGGTTGGGACCTGGTGAATGGGAGAAATGTTCTGCACCCCCGACAGTGGGGTCATGGGCAGGGCCAAGGGGATGGCAGCACCTCTGTCACTTTCCCACAGCTCTCTTTCCCACGGTCAGTCTTTGCTACTCTGCCCCCCTGAGATGACTGTGATAATATTAAAAACAAGAGGCACCATTAATGGTCACGCCCGAGGTGCCAGGCATTGTGCTCAGGGTTTCTTTCCATTGAATAAGTGTTCTCAAAGATTCCGTGGGATGTGTTGTCTTCTTATTCTCGTTTTACAGGTGAGGAAACCAGGGTTAGGAGATGTTAAACTACCTGCCCAGGTAATTCTGAACAGGAAAGTGAGCACAGATTGGATTCAACTCTGCCCTTACCTCCTCCTTCAGTCTTCAAGGTGTCTCTTTCCAATCATTGAGGTCCTAACACCACTTGCACTCTCGTTCCTAAGAAACCCGTGAGTTCCAGGGCACCAGCACAGACAAAGGCCTGGTTCTGTCAAAATGTGAAAAGCCTCGTGGCCTCTGAGGTTCCTGTTTTTAATGCTGTCATACCCTTGTGCCTTTTTTTTTCCTGAAATCAAGAGTATATTTTATTTTATAAGATAGAAGAAATCGTAGATGTGTAAGGAACACGTTGGAGTACAACTATAGATTGAAAATTTTGTTAAAGAACCTCATCTCAATCCTCAAAAAATGAAATGGTTTTATGAGACAAACAAGTACCACATAAGGGCTGGAGTGCAGGATGCATTTCAGATGTCGCGATCCCAGCTCTGTCACCACTGCCACTGCTCTGGCCAGGCGTCCTCTGTGGATGCAGGGATGAGGGTTCATTCCAGGTGTCTGACTCAGAGGCTCTCTTTGGCTGGGTTGGAGAGTAGCCAGAAATCTTGCTTTTATTTTTTTAATAGATAGAAACAGTGGTGATAACGGCATCTGCTCACCTGCCTGGCTTCTTTATGTACGACAAGACTGTCACTTAGGAAGGGTGATTGATGTAGCTCTCTTTTGGAGCAAACTCGATGACCCTTTTAGGGGAAAGAAGTGTTAACCGTGACTTTTAGAGCAGCTCTGTTAGCTGAGCCAAACAGCCAGCTGGGAAAGGCTGTATCTCGCTGTTTGGAAAAAGGCTGTAAATAATCTATGGTAAACAAATAAACAAAAACATCAGAAGAAACACAGGTTAGATCTTCAGAAGAACTTCCTAGCTGTGCAGTGTGGTGAGATATCAGGCAAAATTGTAAATTGTGCTCCAGAATTTGCTGAGCTCCTCTCCCTTCCCCTCCCCTCCCCTCCCCTTCCCTTCCCTTCTTCTCTTCATCTTTTTTTTTTTAAAGAAAAGGTAGCTTCTCACCTCTCTAGGCTGTTATCTGTATAGCCTATACCATTCCCAAGATAGGGGAATGACCATTGACTATCATCGGCCTCATATAGAGAACCTTTATATCCATCTTTAACACATGACAAAAAGACGCTCTCTAGAACCTGAATCCCCAACATTGTGCCTGGTATAGTGTGTTATCCCCTCAGTGTGAAAAGTTAATGTGCACATTCCTAGCCACTACTGCCTTCAACCCCAGAAATGTCAATGCCGTAATGATGGGTAAAGAGTCTGAGTTGTTTTTCTATGAATTATTCTCCAAGTTGCTTTCTACAATCTTTTTTTTTTTTTTTTTTTTTTTTTAAAGACAGAATCTCTGTTGCCCAGTCTGGAGTGGTGCAATCTTGCCTCACTGCAACCTCCGCCTCCTGGGTTCAGGTGATTCTCCTGCCTCAGCCTCCTGAGTAGCTGGGCACCCGCCACCACACCCGGCCAATTTTTTGCATTTTTAGTAGAGATGGGGTTTCACCATGTTGGTCAGTCTGGTCTCGAACTCCTGACCTCAGGTGATCCGCCCGCCTTGACCTCCCGAAGTGCTGGGATTACAGGCGTGAGCCGCCACACCCGTCCTCTATGATCTTTACACTTCTCTCTGATATCCAAGGATTTTCACCAGAGCATGTTTCTTCATTAGACTATTGCTATCATCATGGATTATTGTTACAACTTGATTGTGGTGATATATAATAAATGCTTATGATTTGAGGAATAGAAGTATAAGTGCAGCAGATAAATACCCATCACAATCAAGATAGTCTGTAGAGGATTAAGGTCCTAAGATGTAGGGTGTTGAACAAACAAAAATCATAAACAGCCATTAGCCCACTTCCAATTTCAGCCCCTTTCAACTCACTATGGTGTCATGCTCTGGTGTTTTTCTTGGGAGTCACTTGTTTCTTTTTTACTTTGCTAGTCTCATTTCTGAGAATGGAACTTGCTATTAAAACAAACAATAGTTAAAGATAGTAGAGTTCAAGAGCTTAAGGGATAATTCAAGGCAGACACTGGAAAGAACATTTTGATTGTGACAAGGAGGATATATTGAAGAAAACTTTGTTTAAATAGAGCAAGTGAAATTTACCTCTGGGGCGTGGGCTACTTGAAGTTTGAGTAACTTTCTGGGTCTCAGTCCTTTAATTATGGGGTAACATGTGAGTCATAGAACAATTTCATCTTTGTGAAGAAAGCTGTCAATGTGTTTGTTGGACTTTGGTCAGTAGGCGATGCAGAATCACTTGTGACCAGCAGGCAACAAAGAATCACCATGAGGTTTGGAACATAAGAGTGACATAATCAGAGGCATGTATTAGGGAGACTAAACGAAAAGTCACATGTAAAATGGATTACGGCGGACAGATCCTAGCAGTAAGAAACCAAGTAAGAAGATATAGCAATAATCCAATCGAGAAAAAATGAAAACTTCACCGAGGGTAACTGCAGTAGGAATAAAAGAAAGAGACTAATTCAAGAAATACAATGGAGAAAGAATGGACAGAGCTTGGCAACTAAGCAGCTATAAAGGAGGGGCATGGATGAGGGAGGAATTAACTATGACACAGTCACAATCAGATTTCCCCAGAGAGCAACTGGGCATTTGTCCAATGGCCAATGGGAGCAACTGAACTTTCTGCACTTTTCTTGCTGACAAACAAGCAGGGAGTAACAGTGGCCTGTTAGCTGTGCGAACTCCCCCATAACCTCTCATGATGAGGGGAGTATGACCCTGTCATAGGGTGAGTCAAGATCAGAAATAGGGCAGTGGGTGCAGGTTTGTACTTCCCTGAGGGGGGATGCCGTTTTAGGGGTCCCATTGTCTTAACTCTTCATGGTGATAATATCTAATACTCAGGTTGCTTTTAGTTAGTGGGGCTCTCTGCAGACACAAGTGAGGAGAATTCTGCAAAGAATTGGGAGGAAGAAATTTAACAGAAAGTGCCATGGCAATATCCTGCACCACCCACTGGCAGTGTTGAGTGACTTTTCGTGTTTTAAATTAGTTTCCACCCTCACTTTTTTTTTGTACCATTTTCCTACTTATAAATTCAAGGCTATGGTACCAGATTTCCTTGGCTTTAGCAATGAAATGGAAGTGACTTTTAATTAAGTCCTGTGTTTATTGCTGTGATGCCACCCAAAGGCAGTAGGCATTTGGAAATGTAGTGAAGATGTGGCACCTTAATGGCCTTCAAGATTAAAGAGTTTGGCATGGGACTCTCAGGCTTGTCTTCTGGGAGTCTCCCTGTGGGCCTCTCAGATTACCTGGCAGCGTGTTTGCTGACTCTAGGACAAGAAAAAAAATATTCTTTTGCTAAACAAAGCCCAGGCAACCAAAGCTTTTTCTTTAGAGATCTACCTGGGCCCAGGGGGGTTTCCTCTTTTTATGACCCAGATTGGTCCCTAGCCAAAAACCTATGAAATTCCCTGAAGATGAGCAGCTCTTGAGTCCAGTTATATTCTAAATGAAAGACAAGAAACCTGACCCTCCCACCATCGCATTCGGTTTCCCACACTGAAGACTGCTGTGAGTTTAGGATGCTCTTTCCCTTCTTGGCATGGAAATATGAATCTCTACTGTTCATTAGTTGATATAGAAAAACCAAGCGCCCTTGTAATTAAGCCAGGCACATTTCAGTTTGTAAAATTTCCTCAAAAGCATAGACATGTGGTTACTTCTGATTGTCAAGTACCCAGTGGGGGCTGAAAGTCTCTGGTTTGAGTGGCACTGGGGGCTGTCGGTAGAGCCCCCTCCCAGGAGAATGACCACCAGCGACCCTCTTGTCCAACATGCCAGGCTTTTTGATAAGGATGTTAGAACCGGATTAGGTTCCTAGAATTTATTTATTATTATTATTATTTTTTTTCCTAGAATTTATTTATCCATCTGCAAATGAGATTTGCTCTGATTTTGTGTCTTTTAAGTTAAAAATGGCAGTTTTTTACCTTGCGACCCTTTAGTTTCTGTCTGAGTAAGAAAGTTCTGCTCTGAATGATGGCTCCTATATCTCTGGACACATGGAGGTCATCTCATCTATGAGAATGAGTTCAAATTTCCCTTTTCAAGCGATCCTGTTTCCCCATCTGAAGAATGCCTTCAGACTCGGAGCACAGTCCTGCAATGCCGTGGCCTTACTAGCCATGAGTTAATGCCAAGAATCAAGGGCACACTTCTTTCTATGATAAATTTTTGTTGTGGGAAGGACACTGGTTTTCTGGCAAGTATCTCTCAGAATTGCTCAGTTCTCAATGATCTGCACTAGATTAGATGCTTTATTTATTATTCGTGGATAATTTTAAATTCCAAACTGGCTATACCACTGCTTGACCTGTTCTCATTAAGATATCTCTCAACGCCTTCCTCTAAGCTAGAAATAGCTAGGGAATGTTATGTATTCTGATGTAAGCATAATAGAAAATAAACAAAGAGGTGAATTTGTTGAAAAGTCATGGTGTAACAATTTCAAAATCAGGAAAATAACCCAACTTTAGACTAATCTAAATAATTCTTTGGAACTGAATTATTTCTACTCAAATATCATGATTATTAAAAAAAAAAAAATCAAAGTTATGCATTACTGACTCCATCTTCCTCCCAAAGCCAGAATTTACGAGAATGTGATTGCAATACTGAACCCTGAAGCTAGTTGAAGTTCAGGAATGAGAGGGTACTGACACATATAAATACTTCTTTCAACTTGTGATCCCGTGGGGCTTGTGCTAAAAGCCTCTCTACCCCTTTCTCAAGACAGTCTTCAAGGGAGCCGGCCCTGAGCCATCCTGTCCGTCCTCTGAAATGGGATGAAGCCCAATCAGGCGAAGTAAAATCAGAGTGAAAATAGGTTGCATCTCATTCTCTTTTTGGGAAAACCGTCCTGTGCCTACTCCACCTTAAAAGCGAAACGTGCACTTTTTCTGTGCAGAGACTGCACGAAGCGGGCCCCCTGCTCTTTTCAGGGAGGGAATGTAAGCAGATCTCTGAAGAAACCACTTGGCTCAGCAATTTTAGGGCTTGTTGTAATTGGCCTGGCCTAAAAGAATTCAGCAAGCTGTACCTGTGCCAAGGAAAATGCAAACGCTTCCCTGAAACAGAGGCGTTTAGAATGGAGGAGAGGAGCTGGGCTCATCTGTGAGTCTGAGTAGAACAGCAAGGGGCACAGGAGAGCTGCAACATTGGAGAAGCTCCAAAGAGGCTGTTTCCTTGCTTAGCCACAGGTGGAAGTCACATCCACTGAACTGTCCCCTGGCAGGGTGAGTGGGGTCTGCCAGAGAAGGATCTAGAGTGGGAGGCTTCCTCCTTCCATTCTCAGCCTCCTCCTTGCCCTGAGGAGTACGCCCCCAGTGTGGCCAGCTGCTCAGTGGTCCTCTTCTGGGTTCAGCCTCCACTGCTCTTATCTGGACACTGGGGACTAGGAATATTCTCTCTGACATTCCCAGGCCAGGACGACACTTCCTATAGACTGACTGCTCCTGATTCTTTGTGGTGTCTGACATGTCTTTTCTGTTAAAAACATAAAACCTAGCAATGATTCTTTGGATATTCTGTTATTTTCCCTCACAGCACCCTATAATCCTTTGCAGGAGTTTTATACTTGGCTGTGCTTCTCGCCTTCACCTGTTACTCTGTGACCCCTGGAGGGTCGGTCTCGTCATCCCAGTCGGATTCCTGATGCTTACCATGGTCTTTGGCCAAGAGTAGTTACCGAGCAAATGATTGTTAACTAATTAATAGTAATTCAGGTTACTGTGGAACTTGATTTCTACTTCTATCCTGTATCTTCAGCATATAGGAAGTGTCTAGTCAATACTTGAAGCATTCAGATTTTTCCTGTTAATTAACAATCTTTTGCAGCCAGAAAGGTGCTCTTTGATTCTCTCTCCTGAGAAGTGAGCTAGTTGGGAAATAGAGACACCAAGTCTTATGATGGGTCTAGCTTTCTTTCTGTTTCTTTCTACTCAGAAGATCTTTCAGTGCCTGGCCTCCTTCTTCCTCCTCAACATTTACCCTTATTCCTGCCTCTCATCACCGCTTGAGACCCTGAGATGGTCTTGGAAACGTCCCAGATATCTCAGACCTCTCATGCAGTTTCTCCCTTCACATCTCCCTACCTCTCAATTTTTCTCCCTTTTTCTTCATCCCCAAACTCTGTTTTTCTCCTCTGCCTGAGCTCAGGGTTCCCTCTGCTCAATCAGAGGTCAATTCTCGAATGCTCCATTTCTCTTATCTGACACCCTCATCAGCTTTGCACCCCTTTTTGCAACCCTGTCCAGGATAATATCATGAAAGCAACTCCAAACACATACCACATACTGGCCCCACCCAAAGCCCCGTAGTGTTTAGTCTTTCCTTTTTAGCAATCTGCACCCTTTCTGCTGCGCTGCCCCTATTCTTGTACCTTCCCAGCCTGCAATGTAAGGCTCACACATAGATGCAAAAGATTGCAGAATAGGCAAGAACGTCACCTATAGTTTTTACTGGCACTGTGTGTCCCAAGTGTGTCTCCTCAAACTGTAGGTAGGACTTTTAAAATTTACTGTAATTCTGACTTCAAGAAATTCTAATTAGCTTTAGGTTCTGCCTTGTAGTCTGGTACTATACCAAAGGTGCCTTTTCCCTTGCGTCCATGTCTTGCTAACTGCATTTTCTATGCGTGTGTTTTGCTTATTCTTGAGCCCCATCAGAATGGCCTCCAATCAAATTGACTTCAGAGACTGAGTTCAAACAGAGATCAGACAACCACTCAATCAGGGAAGATATGGATGGAATTCAGACATCGGGGGAGGTATTTGATAAGACGGCTTCTAAACATCATCTCTTTTGAGAACTGCGATTCTCCTTAAACTGATCATTCAGTGTAGGAGTTTTGCCTTTTCTTTTGTGTTTTCCACTATACTAAAGGCCATTTGCCCCCGAGGAGGTGCCTAACTCTTGGACTTACCTGTGATAGTTAAAGAAATAGTGCTGCTCAAGGGAAAGAGAGGAAAAGGCCTCAAGCACACTTTGGATTTATCTGATCAGCTAATGTGTTAGACCAGGAGATCCCGCAGCAGGAGTTAAAATGCTCTGTGTGAGGATGTCACATGCTTCTTTTGTCTAGTTTCTCCTTTTGGATCCCAGGTTGTTCACAGACTCAAATAGTCCAAGAGCTACAAGGATCCCAAAGGTTATTTCAGTGCAGGCAGCCTCCATGACTGGCCCTCCATTTGACCAAAGAACGTCCAGTGACAGAGCCCTCACAGCTCTCTCCAGACACAAAGTGACCCTTCCAAATCTGGGCTAAACTACCTGAATATTTTTCTTATAGTGGATCAAAAATATTTCTCTTTGATGTGTCTCTCCGTTAGTTCCATTCTATTTCCTGAAACTGGGCAGAGCAAATCCCACCGTTTTCTAATCGAGAGTCCTTTAAATATTCGAAGACAGCAATTACAGAGTTGTATCTTTATCTGCCTAAATATTTCCAGTTCTTCAAATTCCTCATGACATGGTTGCTTCTATATCTTGGTTGTCCTATTGTCTGGGTCCTGCATTTTTCCTGGTGTGGGGTGCAGAGCAGAATGGAATGGTCTGCCAGTCCGAAGGGGAACAAGACTCTCCTTTCCTCACACTCATTTTCCTGTTTCTCCACTCATGACCCCGTGTCCCTCACATGCTCCAGACCCTCTGATATTTCCTCCTGTAGAAGTAATTCTGGATTTTGATCCCATCTTTCACAGCGGGCTTGTCACTAAAGGTTCTCAGTTTTAGATCTATTTGTGTGAAAGGGAATATTTTTGTTTTTGTTTTTGCAGCTTTTCTTGATTTCTCTAAATCCTTGTTGCTGGTGGTTTTTTTTTTGTTTTTTTGTTTTTTTGTTTTTTTACTTGACCTGAGTTTGTAACAGGGTTTAATTATCTTCAGGGCAGTTTAACCCTTTCATATTCAGCCCTAGGCCCAACATAGGTCTGAGAAATATTTATTGAGTTTATGGTTCATAGCAATATCATCAATTGACATACCTTCTTCTGCTTTGTCATCATCCTCATCATCATCATTATCATTTAAGTGGCACACAACTTCTTTTGCTTAATGTTATTGCTGTCTTTTGCCTTTATTCCTGTAATACCAATGTTCATTATGGAGAAGGAACTCATAAAGTAGCTGCAACAGAACCAGAGACTCGTGCAACCTCCTGTATCATTTCCAGTGCACTAGCAAGTGGAGCTAAGATCAGAAGCCAGGGTTCCTGACCTTCTCCTGCCCCGTATGTCTAGACTATGTTCTGTCTCTGGAGAAAAGTGGGAGAGACACTCACTGATCATCCTCAGTACAGGACAATGAGCCACACCATTAAGGAGTACTGATTGGCTCCCCTGCTGTGAGAACAGTATGCTGGGTGTGACACAGACAGAGAGACCCAGACCAAGTCTGCGGGAGAAAACTGGTCATGATGTCAAATGTGGAGGAAACAACCAATAGTCCTGGTGGGATGCTCTCTATTTACCAGTATAGTTAGTGGAATCCAAACAAGGAAACTTTCCAGAATGACAACTGTGCTCGGCCACTGAACTGTAGGTTAGCATGTGGTTTGTGACATATTATTTCATTTTGCCATGATACCAGTTGTGAGATCTTGCTTGTGAAACTAAGTTAACTCCATTTTATGGACAAAGAAACTGAGGTGAGAGTGGTTAATTGAGCATAAAATGAGTAGCAGAGCTAGGTATCAAGTCTAGATCTGTTGAAGCCTAGAGCTTGTTTTGCCACGTCACATTGTCTCATTGACTCTTCCAGCAGTCCTGGCAAGGGAGCTCACAATTTCAGCAAAACAAATCTCAGACCCATTTCCACTGGCCTCTGTTAAATTCGACTACCTTTCTGATGTTGGTGGCAGCTCTGTACTGAACCATATGTGAAGACTGAACTTGGAATAAAATAATAAAGCTCCATTTATTAAAAACCACAGCTACTTCATGAGCTGTTTCTCCATAAGCAACATAGACACTACAGTAATAAAGATTAAAAAATAATAATAACCATAAGCAAAAGAAGCTGTGTGACACTAAAATGAGGAGGAGAAGGAAGAGGAGGAGGAGGATGACAGCGATACCTGCCGGAGTGGGTTAGTATAAATGAGACCGTGTTCCTCTGGAGAAAGATACTATTTGGACATACAGTCTGTTTTCACTAAGGTGGGGAGCAGTGTGTGTCCAGAGCTCGAGAGAGACTGAAAGGCCAAGTGTCCACAGTGGCAAGAGAATCCAGGAGATTGGACCATCATGTCTTTTACTCAGAGAGTGGAGACCACGCCTTGTCTCTCAGAACAGCCCTGTGTGAACATCCGACTTTATGATACATTGTGATTGTGAGACAGGACTTCCCATGCAGAGCGTAAGCCGTGCAGGCTTATTACTCACACCACACTCACCTGGACCCAGAGACCTCCAGGCCCTGAGGACTCCGTCTCCCCAAAGTATTTTCCTGAGAAATTACAGAGGACCTCAACCGTGCAACTCACACAGAGGCTGTTCTTCGTGGCCGGAGCTGGACTCCACGCCCTCTGGGGCACATCCCTGAGTGTGAGCATCTTCTCTCGCCCTCCTCCCACCCAGGCACCGTCCCAACTGGGCACTGCCTTGCCATGCCCCACATCTCCCACAAGGGGGAGCCCCTGGAGGGCAGCTGGGGCTGCGGAATTTTGGAAGCGCAGAAGTTTTCTCCTCCTGTCCTGTAACTGGTTTTCACTTCACTCAACTGAGAGATTTCTTTGTTGCAATGATGGGGTCTAAGATAACACTTCTGGAGGCTGCAGGCGAGAAACACAGCTGATATCATCTTTTATTGTGTGTTGTTATTTGCCTAGCATTATAAATTAAGGAGGAAAAGTAACAAAGAGCTTGAAGACACGCACAGCTCACAGGCCCCGGGTGGAGGCTGGCGGCATCAGACACACAGAACCAAGACATCTGAGGGGCAACCAGGAGGTGCGTGTGGCTGCAGAGCACACAGGTAGGAACCCGCAAGAGGACAGTCGTGACGGGGGGAGGAGTGGATGGAGCATTCACAAAAGGTGGTCAGCAGAGATTAAAGGGGAAAGGCAGTGCAGAGGAGTTGGGAGACGGAGGGAGAGAGGAGGAAGGAGTTCCAAAGGAGTGCAAAAGAAAAAAATGTTTGCAGGGTGTGATGCGAAAGGCTGACCACGGAGTGGGAGAGGGAGGGTTTGGAAAGTGAATCAGAGACATAAGAGGGTTTGAAGTTGGTTCCAACTCGGCCACCCCAGAAACTTCACAGGACATGAGAGGATGGGAGATTGACACTAAAGGCTTAGTTGCACAAGAAAATTCAAAGTGAGTAGGTGTGCCAGAAAGTCAATCTAATCATTCTGGTTGTCATATAGCCACACCCACTCCGGACTTTAACCCAAACTAGAAGGAATTCTGGTCTGAGGGTGTTTTCAGGTCCTCTCCGCTCGGAACTCATGTTTCACACTTTCCCTTTCTTCCTTCGGCTCTTCCACAGTCGTTCTAGGTAATGGATTAGAAGTCAGAAATTCCGTGTTCTAGTCCAGGCTTTGCCACTTTCTGGTGAGACTGGCTTAAGAAAAGAAATATCTGAGTTTCCTTTTCCTTTGTCTATAAAAGGAAGATAATAATATATTACTTATGAGCCCTACAGGTTTTTCTGAGGGTTGCATAAGTCAGATAGTGTGAATGAATGTTCTTAATAGACTATAATTGCTAGTTAAATAAAATATGGCATTAATAACAATTAATCAGTTATTATATTCTTCCTATCCTCAACAACGGATTTGCCTACTGAGCTGTGGAGAAATATATATATGAAGAATAAGATAATATATAACATATAAGTTATATAGGTATATTAGCCTTAACCTACTATCTGCAGGAAAATTTAGAATATATGACTCTGTTTCCACAGCACATGTTAGAGTAACCTTTTTGGCAGATAAATAGGAATCTTTGTGTTCTTACCTTTTAGCCACCATCAAATGTTCTTTTCCCCGACCTCGGCTACAGTTTTGTGTTTCTCAGACATGCAGATAATGATTGATGGTGTCTGCCTGGTTACCTAGATGAGTGATTTGTCTGTGTCCTGGACACTGCTGCCGGAGCAAATGTCACACCGTGTCTCAGGCACATGATCAGACTAAATATGCTTGGAAGAAGCAAATAAGAGACTCTGTTAATCAGTTAATCATCCCATCACTATATTCCTTGCCTGAAATGTGTTTTTGTTTGTTTGTTTGTTTATGGTATGGGTCATTTGTTTCTTAGTTCATTGAAATGTTTTGGGTGGAAAATTGGGTTCTGCACACTGGGTCTGGCTGGTTGAGTCTGGCTGTGAAGACTGAAGTTGGCTTTGATGCCTATAGATGCACTCACCCTTCGCTTGGGTTCCAGAGGCCATGTGGTGTATGGGGAAGGCAGTGTAGACGGTGGGAAAATCACTTGACTTCTCTTGTTCATCTGTCAAATGAAACTGTTACCATCCTTCCTTTGTGCATCCAAATGTAGATGTAAGGGGCACATGAGATTATACTGCACACGCCAACAGTTCGTAACTCTCCAAGTGCTGTATAATTGTAAGGTGTTATCGTCATTATTCTGTTGCATGTTTCTTACTAGTGATTTACCCATATTTCACAATTTAAATTATTTGAAAAGCTGTCTTTCCCCAGCTGTTAATATAGTCTCTTACTTTTTTTCATTTCCACCAATCAACTGATAAATCAAATATTTATAGAGATGCTAAATTTGTCATATACCTACTCACCATCAAAAACTTAGTATCCTATCTAAATCACATGAATAGATGCACAATGTGTACATAGACTATTTGTATTCTTCTACAAATACTAAATACATATATACATCCTTTTTTTCGTGCATGTGCCCATTCCCCTTTTAATAAAAATATATGTAAATATGTATTTGAGGAAGAAATGTATACCTACATCCACACACAAAGCGTCTTCACTTAGATAGCAGATTTAATGGGGAAGAGGAACAAACACATCACTCTATTTTAGAGTCCAGAAGTGACCACAATGCACAATTCATGTGGTTAAAAAAAATCATGGATCAATTTCTGCCCTGTTCCTAGTAATGAATATCAATATCTTGCCTCTTCTAGACAGACTGTCAGCAGCTTCAGACATTTTTAAATGAGTTTTTAAAAATAAATATGTGAAGTCAATTATTTTGAATCTCATCTGAAGCAATTAAAAAACATCCTGACATTTAAGGTGATATTTTTTCCCAAGTAAAATAATTATAAATAATACTAATTATGAGCAAATCATTCAGTTACTCTCAGTCTAGTTCAACCTTTAGGTTAATAAACCAATCCATTAAAATTCATCTTGCTCAAAGGACCAATTTGTTAAAAAATGTAAAGACCTTTCGCCAGAAGTATGATTGATATTTTCTTTAACAATAATCAGAGCTGTCTTTACCGGAACAGAGTATGGTCAAGTGACAGGTATAGAAAACTGGTGTTCTCTCTTGGTACTACTTCTCAGATAGGTACAAAATGATATTGATGACGATGAAGATGGTAGTGATAATGTACAAAATTAAAACTCTAATGTTAAAGAGAGTACCTTAAAAAGATGTTTGAAAGCCTCAAGACAACTGATCGCAAAACCCAACTATATTACTCTTCATGCCACAAACAGAATTTAGATATTCCCCTCTGCCTCTGGTGTTTCATTCTCACCAAAGGTGTAGGGTGGAGATTTGCAAATGTGTCCCATCGGCCAAATCTGGTCCACTACCTGTTATAAATAAAGTTTTATTGGAACAAAGCCCATCTATTTATTTAGATACTGTCTTTGGCTGCTTTTCTACTATAGAGGCAGAATGGAGTTGTTACGACAGAGACCACATGGTCCACAAATCTTAAAATGCTATTATCATTCTCTCACCAATGGAAAAAAAAAAAAGTTTGCCAACCTCTGTGTTACGTAACGGGGAAAAAAATACTCATCTTTGAATTTATAACAGTAGCTAATATTTGAACAGCACTTTAGAGTTTATAAAGTCTGACCATGTTATGTATTATTATCTTAACTGATGAAGAAATTGCTGACTTTTCTTTTTTTTTTTTTTAATTATACTTTAAGTTCTACAGTACATGTGCACAACATGCAGGTTTGTTACATATGTATACATGTGCCATGTTGGTGTGCTGCACCCGTTAACTCGTCATTTACATTAGGTCTATCTCCTAATGCTATCCCTCCCAACTCCCCCCACCCCACGACAGGCCCCGGTGTGTGATGTTCCCCACCCTGTGTCCAAGTGTTCTCATTGTTCAGTTCCCACCTATGAGTGAGAACGTGTGATGTTTGCTTTTCTGTCCTTGCGATAGTTTGCTCAGAATGATGGTTTCCAGCTTCAACCATGTCACTACAAAGGACACGAGCTCATCTTTTTTTATGGCTGCATAGTATTCCATGGTGTATATGTGCCACATTTTCTTAATCCAGTCTATCATTGATGGATATTGGGTTGGTTCCAAATCTTTGCTATTGTGAATAGTGTTGCAATAAACATACGTGTGCATGTGTCTTTATAGTAGCATGATTTATAATCCTTTGGGTATATACCCAGTAATGGGATTGCTGGGTCAAATGGTATTACTAGTTCTAGATCATTGAGGAATCACCACACTGTCTTCCACAATGGTTGAACTAGTTTACACTCCCACCAACAGTGTGAAGGCGTTCCTATTTCTCCACATCCTTTCCAGCATCTATTATTTCCTGACTTTTTAATGATTGCCTTTCTAACTGGTGTGAGATGGCGTCTCATTGTGGTTTTGATTTGCATTTCTCTGATGACCAGTTGCCGACTTTTCTATAGTCATTCAGTCATAAAGTGGTGTAGGGAGGACTTGACCTCTAAAGAAGGAAGAATGCTGCCCCAGTGGCAGCTTTCTAGAAACAGGAAAGGAGATGGCTCTCAAACTGCAATAGTGGCTACCTGCCTCTTTTATCCACCTGGATGTGACCATTGCCCAAAGACAGTAGAGAAAATAAAACTCTTGACGTTCTCTTCTCTCATTATCTGACCTTGGCCGGGGTGATTTTAGCCTTGTCTGCTTTTATGTCCTTATTCTCATAACCAGAGTTATACTAATAAACAGAAAGGAAAGCAAAGTGGTTTGCAGTCAAAGCTAAACTTTACTGCATCAACTCTCACTTATCCATACTGAAAGGAATGTGTCCATGCTGAAACTGGCACTGTGGCATGAATATTCCCAAACAGCAGATAACAGAAAAGTCTTTTTTTTTGGAATACACTATCTTTTTAAAAGTTTGCATTTTGAAACAGTAAATCCTCACCTCGTTATGTTTCATTTTTATTCAAGTTAATATCAAGATTATATTTTCCCCTCTGAGCTTAGGACATCTGTTAGCAAAGTGGGCCCCAAAGTGCTAGATATCAGGCGGAAGGATGCCCGGAATGAAAACCTTGCCTTTGAGATTCATAGATATAAAACAACAATTGTTTGCTGGGACCAAAGCTTTTCTTAATCTCGTGTTTTCTTGGAAAGGGGTGAGGGATAAAATGAGATACATGAGAATAAGAATTTTTTACATGGAATCTTTCCTGAATATTCCAAGCCAAAGATAAGGATTTAAACAATTTAACTAATTCAATTTTTTCTTCAACCAACTTTTATTTTGAGTGTCCACTGTGGCAGGCACTGGTAAGAGCTGGAATATCACATTGACCAAGAAAATTGATTAGAGAAACAAACATGTGCCTACATGTTATTAGAAATAAGCAATGGGATGGGAGTACAGATAAAATCTTAAGTATGTTCAATGGAGAAGTCATTCTTCCTTAGACTATCACAGAGGACATTATGGAGGAAGTGGCATTTTGTGAGACTTGAAGAATACCCAAGTGTTGGACATCTGAAAATGGGAGGGGTGGCATTCTAGGAGGGAACAAAAGCATAAGAGCAAAGTATAGGGT